GTGTAGCCTACCATGCCTGCAATGGAATTTTATGAATGCCCACCCATGTGGTAGGCCCACCGTTTGTAAAATAGGCCATTGCATTGGCTTTATTAGTCCTGATGCCTGTGACTAATCAATTTGGCTATTTAACCTCTGAATATCAGCAACCCAACTTTATCAGGAGTTATCGCAAGCCTATTTGCAATCTTGCCTTACCTCCATAACTTGCTACATTTGCACACACTGTATATATATTTATTTCTGTTGTATTTTTGACTTTGTTTTGTTTTACCCCATATGTAACTCTGTGTTGTTGTTTTTATCGCACTGCTTTGCCTTATCTTGGCCAGGTCGCAGTTGTAAATGAGAACTTGTTCTCAACTGGTTTACCTGGTTAAATAAAGGTGAAAAAAAAAAAAAATGTGTTTACACAGCGGGAAATGCAGAAATATTTTATTTTTCGCTATGATCAGCTTGTCAAAAATTGAAGGATACAAACCACTGATCATGACAATGGGGTGAAACAACAACAGCTGTGATTGTCCATTCCAAATTGTCCATTTCACTTTGACCTGTACTGTTTTTAGGATGTGTTGTTCGTTAACATGACAGCTTATTAGGCAGGTTAGGCTATTTGATCGGAGAAACCTGCATGATGTAAAAAGTGTCCGTCTCATTACATTGTCATACATTTTATCTCCAGCCGGTTGGCCTCCAGAAAAGGCCACATACAATTTTTTACCATATCCTATATGTGCTACATGATTTATATACATTTTTTGATGGAAAGTTGGTGGAGCGCTTCAGAGATGCGTCTCTCCAACAGCACCCTGGAGAGGCATGCTGAGAATGGTCAAGCAAAATATTTTGCGCCTTTGACAAAGTGGGTACTGCTTATCAAAGGGCGGCATCAGCGCTCACCTAAAAAGCCCATATGCCACTGGTTGAGAAATTAATTGTTTTGGGGCAGAATTATGTGAGGTTTTATGTGTGTTGGAGGTGCGTCTTGGTCAGTTTAGGTGTTGAGTTTCCCGTCCTCCCAGGCCGTTGGCATGGTGCAGGAGCAATAGGGTCAAAGTAGTGGATTTTTTATGAGTGTAAGGTCAGTTGGAAGGGTGTATTTCCTTTCCCCCCTTTTGTATCACGAAGTAAAATGGATTTATATTATAGTCCAGTTGGGGGCGGTAATGCAAGATATTTGATGCCAACCGCCGTTAAACTCCAAAGAAGAAGAAGGACTCTTCACAGTTTGTCCACGCGGGTTGGTGTTTAGACGAAAGCAGCGCAAGTTGAGCACCAATAACAAGAAGATCATGGGGAAAAAGAAACAGACGAAACTCGCAGAGGCATTTAAACAAGGTGCTACGACTGGGCAAAATCCAAGGTAACGCTGACCAGCTGGTTCGCTCTTCTTTGTCCTACAGGCTTGCTAGCAATCTAAGTTAGCATGCTAGCTATCTTGAGTTAGGTACCCAGTTAGCAATGAGCACTCGGGAGGCCGAAGTCCCTCCAGTCCAGAGTGGTCGCACGCCAAGCGACAGCTTTCTTGCCCATCGCCTCATTAACGGGTGCCCGCGATAAACCGCTTTGTTAAGTGGCAGCCGTGCTACCGGCGTTCACGTGCCGTTTTCCTCACCCGCCCTTTACCCCGCCTTTCTCCCGACCCGCGACACTACAGATGTCAGTCGGAGGCAAGACACTTTTTCAGCATCAAGCCAGCAGCATGCCTACTCCATGTTAAATATATATTCGATTTTTATTATTTAAGGTACATTGGATGGCATGTCCATTTGGAAAAGTACTGTAAATGATTGTGTGTGCAGAATATATCGGATAACGGGCCAGTCCTGATCACCTGAATCCACTGGTAACGACACATTTTATTGTCATGTACTTGCTTCTCACACAGTGCAATGTCGACAAAAGTGACAGTAATCAAATACAGTAAAACTTCAATTAATTGCCCAGGCATTTATTTGCTTACATTTTAGTCATTTAGCAGACGCTCTTATCCAGAGCGACTTACAGGAGCAATTAGGGTTAAGTGCCTTGCTCAAGGGCACATCGACAGATTTTTCACCTAGTCGGCTCGGGGATTAGAACCAGCGACCTTTCGGTTACTGGCACAACGCTCTTAACCACTAAGCTACCTGCTTAAATCACTGGACTCAGCAGTCGCTTATTAGAGACAGGCTTCTATTTGAGCCAGGATATTTCATTAATGCACAGTCTCCTCTGAACAGTTGATGTGGAGATGTGCCTGTTACTTGAACTCTGAAGCATTTATTTGGGCTGCAATTTCTGAGGCTGGTAACTAATTAACTTATCCTCTGCAGCAGAGGTAACTCTGGGTCTTCCATTCCTGTGGCGGTCCTCATGAGAGCCAGTTTCATCATAGTGCTTGATGTTTTTTGCGACTGCACTTGAAGAAACTTTCAAAGTTCTTTAAAATGTTCCATATTGACTGACCTTCATGTCTTCAAGTAATGATGGACTGTTGTTTCTCTATGCTTATTTGAGCTGTTCTTGCCATAATATGGACTTGGTCTTTTACCAAATAGAGCTATCTTCTGTATACCCCCCTACCTTGTCACAACACAACTGATTGGCTCAAACGCATTAAGAAGGAAAACAATTCCACAAATTAACTTTTAACAAGGCACACCTGTTAATTTAAATGCATTCCAGGTGACTACCTCATGAAGCTGGTTGAGAGAATGCCAAGAGTGTGCAAAGCTGTCATCAAGGCAAAGGGTGGCTATTTGAAGAATCTCAAATCTAAAATATATTTTGATTTGTTTAACACTTTTGTGGTTACTAAATTAATCCATATGTGTTATTTCATAGTTTTGATGTCTTCACTAATATTCTACAATGTAGAAAATTTTAAAAATAAAGAAAAACCCTTGAATGAGTAGGTGTTCTAAAACGTTTGACCGGTAGTGTATTTCCCTCCCCCACCCCCTATATTTTATATAAATGTATTGTGACAGTCTAAAGACAGATGGCAGATATTGCCAATATGGATTCACATTTGTTGGTAACTGTTATGTTCTTACCTTCATGTCTGCAACCCAAACTTGGCACCGTTGGCCCGATGTAGTGTCTCACTCCTGGCCCTGTGTGAAACAATAACGTTACATTGAAATTACGTAAATACTGTGCAAGAAAGAACAGATAGCCCAGATAAAGTGAATGTAACGTTATAGGGTTGGGAGATATTACGATATAATCTGAAATAAATTATGTTTGACAGACATCGTCGATTGCAACGACATCGTGATGTGGTCGACGATAGTTTTTATATATTTAGATTCTTTACAGATAGTTTAACCTATTTGAACATGAGTCTGGCAGCGCACAGCCGGGCGACATGCCAAATGACCTACCTTTACCTATTAGCCCTTTTCAATAAATCTGTGTTAGGTAGGTAGCCTTCTATAAACTTAATGCAAGAATAGGCCTACATTGTAGATTGTAGATGGAGTGGAGAGTGCCAAAAGCTGCGCAAAATGTCATAACATTTCTCTCGCTCACCTCCAATGTCTGATGATCATGGGCCTTTTGGACACTCTGTCTGGCTTGTTTTAAAGTTAGTCCCAATCCCCATTTTTTGTAATGTGACTTGTTGGCCTAAGCATGTCTTTCATGATCAACTTTCAAATGAATCTAGGAGTCCAGTAACACAGTTCTATCTCAGAAAGTTGTATGCTTGTGAATAGCCTCATTAAAAACATGATATGATAATATTGAGAGAGAGAGTGAACCAACAATTGCAAGATAGAATAATCGAATGGGAAGTTTAAACAAACCTTATACGTTTCTGGCCACCTGACCAAAGCTTTAGGATAAAGCTTCCGGAAAAATCCTTGCAAACCAAACAGCCAACACTGGTCTACACTAGGCTACTTTCAATACAATTTACAGTAAATGTTACTTGTGCAAGTTAAACTTCAAAACAGATATTTATATAATTGTGGAAGTGTTTATTCATATACTTGAATTGTGCAACAGGCATTACATAAGCTCCCACAGCAGTGGGAACAAAACATAAATGTCGCCTATAAAAAGCGTAACCCACATTTGGATAGGCTACAAATGACAATGAATAAAGTAAACAAAATAAGTATGAAATTAACCAAATCAATTACAGTGCAAATAAGTTTATGGCACACAACAGAATATTTTAGGCTAGGCTACATTTATTTAGAATAAGACGCATCTGTGTTCCTGTACCCAAGAAAGCAAAGGTAACTGAACCAAATAATAATAATAATAATAATAATATGCCATTTAGCAGACGCTTTTATCCAAAGCGACTTAGTCATGCGTGCATACATTTTTGTGTATGGGTGGTCCCGGCGATCGAACCCACTACCTTGGCGTTACAAGCGCCGTGCTCTACCAGCTGAGCTACAGAGGAGTTGTTGCTATGCAAACAACCCCGTCATTTCACCTTTCATCTTGACCTGCAAAAAGCCCTTATCCATATACGAGTCAGTCTACAATTGCATATGAACATCACATACACTAATACAACTTCCCTAACATTCCTTTGAGATATTCAGATTCATTCTGCTTGTCTAGCTAAGCAGTAACTAGGGAAAGATTTAGTAACCATACATTATGAATGAAGAAGATAAAACAACCATGATGTTCTGTTCTGAGGCCTCCCCATGAGACTTCTATATCACGTTGTATCAAACTCCAATCTGTCCTGAGTGGGTTTCAGTCTGAGCCGTATGTATCCATGGATAGAACTCTGTCAGGTCTGTAGGTTTAGCTCTGTTTAACAGGCCTTCTTTTAGGTTCTAGAAGCCCAAGTTCTGGGTTGTGTTCAATAGAGAGAAACGTTTTCAAACTTAATGAAACAGGAAGGTACTACTACCTGAACATGTCCAATAAGAACACAGATTTACATTTTCTGTTGCAAAGTGTTATGCTACGGTGTTCCCTAATGAACAGGACCCTGTTCAGATCCACTATAGGGTATTTTATCTGGCCCCTCTGCGCTGCACCACGATGGTTCCTGCTACAATGTCATACACAGTCCTGTTGTGTTGGAAGAAGAGGAGGATAATGAAGACGGGGAACAGGAAGGCGATGGAGAAGTTCTTGTTCAACGCCCGCACCGTGGAAGCTGACAGGGTGACGTTAATGCCGGCACCACCAGTACCCGGTTAGGTCGGACCAGGACTGAACTGTTACATGTCACGACCCGAAGACCCAGGAGGAACTTCCCCGGGGTGGCACCGCCCGCACCCCAGATACAGATGATCTCATAGAAACAGACCAGCAACCTGTAGACCAGAGCTACTGCCATCATCTTCTGCAGGTCCTCCATAGATGTGTTCTCATCTATCTCCTCAACTATGAAGTGGGTGATGAACTTAGTGATGTCCTTCATGCCACTAAGGTGCATAATCCACAGGATGATGTTTGCCTTGATGCAAAATAACATAAAAAAGTCCACTGTCTCGGCTAGGAATCTGTGGAGGGGAGAAGGGATGGTGTATTCCCGACCTGCTTGAGGTGACCCGTAGCACTCACCTCTGTCATCATCAAATCAAATCAAATTTTGCCTCATTTGCCGAATACAACAGGTGTAGACATTACAGTGAAATGCTTACTTACAAGCCCTTAACCAACAATGCAGTTTTTTAAGAAAAGAAAAAAAGTGTTAAGGGAAAAAATAGATAAGTAAAAAAGAATGAAAGAGCAGCAGTAAAATAAAGTAACAGTAGGGAGGTTATATACAGTGGGTACTGGTACAGAGTCAATGTGCGGGGGCACCGGTTAGTCGAGGTACTTGAGGTAATATGTACATGTGGGTAGAGTTAAAGTGACTATGCATGAATAATAAACAGAGTAGCAGCAGCGTAAAAGGTGGGGTGGGGTGGGGTGGGGTGGGGGGAGGGGGGGCAATGCAAAGAGTCTGGGTAGCCATGATTAGCTGTTCAGGAGTCTTCTGGCTTGGGGGTAGAAGCTGTTAAGAAGCATTTTGGACCTAGACTTGGCGCTCCAGTACTGCTTGCCGTGCGGTAGTAGAGAGAACAGTCTATGACTAGGGTGGCTGGAGTCTTTGACAATTTTTAGGGCCTTCCTCTGACATGAAATGCTTTGAGAGACTAGTCAAGTATCATATCACCTCTACCTTACCTGTCATCCTAGACCCACTTCAATTTGCTTACTGCCCCAATAGATCCACAGACGATGCAATCGCCATCACACTGCCCTATCCCATCTGGACAAGAGGAATACCTATGTAAGAATGCTGTTCATTGACTATAGCTCAGCATTCAACACCATAGTACCCTCCAAGCTCATCATTAAGCTCGATGCCCTGGGTCTGAGCCCCGCCCCCTGTGCAACTGGGTCCTGGACTTCCTGACGGGCCGCCCCCAGGTGGTGAAGGTAGGAAACATCTCCACTTCGCTGATCCTCAACATTGGGGCCCCACAAGGGTGCGTGCTCAGCTCCCTCCTGTACTCCCTGTTCACCCATGACTGCGTGGCCAAGCACGCCTCCAACTCAATCATCAAGTTTGCAGACGACACAACAGTAGTAGGCTTGATTACCAACAATGATGAGACAGCCTACAGGGAGGAGGTGAGGGCTCTGGGAGTGTGGTGCCAGGAGAATAACCTCTCACTCAACATCAACAAAACAAAGGAGATGATCGTGGACTTCAGGAAACAGCAGAGGGTGCACCCCCCCTATCCACATCGACGGGGCCGCAGTGGAGAAGGTGGAAAGCTTTAAGTTCCTTGGTGTACACATCACTGACAAACTGAAATGGTCCACCCACGCAGACAGTGTGGTGAGGAAGGCGCAACGGAGCCTCTTCAACCTCAGGAGGCTGAAAAAATGTGGCTTGGCACCTAAAACCCTCACAAACTTTTACAGATGCACAATTGAAAGCATCCTGTCGGGCTGTATTAGCGCCTGGTACGGCAACTGCACCGCCCGCAACGGCATGGCTCTCCAGAGGGTGGTGCGGTCTGCCGAATGCATTACCGGGGTCAAACTACCTGCCCTCCAGGATACCTACAGCACCTGATGTCACAGGAAGGCCGAAAAGATCATCAAGATCATCAAGGACAACAACTACCCAAGCCACTGCCTGTTCACCCCGCTATCATCCAGAAGGCGAGGTCAGTACAGGTGCATCAAAGCTGGGACAGAGAGAATGAAAAACAGCTTCCATCTCAAGGCCATTACACTGTTAAATAGCCATCACTAGCACATTAGAGGCTGCTGCTGCCTATTGAAATCACTGGCCACTTTAAGAAATGGAACACTTTAATAATGTTTACATATCTTGCATTACTCATCTCATGTGTATATACTGTATTCTATTATATTCTACAGTATCTTAGTCCATGCCACTCTGTCATTGCTTGTCCATATGTATATATTCTTAAATTCCATTCCTTATTTAGATGTGTGTATTAGGTATATGTTGTGAAATTGTTAGATATTACTTGTTAGATATTACTGCACTGTCGGAGCTAGAAGCACAAGCATTTCGCTACACCCGCAATAACATCTGCTAAACACGTATGTGACAAATACAATTTGATTTGATTTGTGAATACAGGCTTTGAAAATTAAACATAAAAAGTGCAATTTAGAACCATTCTTTAAATTATACAGTGCATTCGGAAAGTATTCAGACCCCTTCACTTTTTCCACATTTTGTTACCTTACAGCTTTATTTCTAAAATGGATGAAATACATGTTTTTTCCTCATCAATCTACACACAATACCCCATAATGACAAAGCAAAAACAGGTTTTTAGAAACGTTTGCACATTTATTAAACAGATACCTTATGTAAATAAGTATTCAGACCTTTTGCTATGGGACTCGAAATTGAGCTCAGGTGCATCCTGTTTCCATTGATCATCCTTGAGATGTCTCTACAACTTGATTGGAGTCCACTTGTGGTAAATTCAATTGGTTGGACATTATTTGGAAAGGCAAACACCTGTCTATATAAGGTCCCACCATTGACAGTGCATGTCAGAGCATAAACCAAGCCATGAGGTCGAAGGAATTGTCCTTAGAGTTCAGAGACAGGATTGTGTCGAGCCACAGATCTGGGGAAGGGTACCAAAAAATTTCTACATCATTGAAGATCCCCAAGAACACAGTGGCCTCCATCATTCTTAAATGGAAGAAGCTTGGAACCACAAAGACTTCCTAGAGCTGGCCGCCCGGCCGAACTGAGCAATCGGGGGAGAAGGGCCTTCGTCAGGGAGGTGACCAAGAACCCAATGGTCACTCTGACAGAGCTCCAGAGTTCCTCTGTGGAGATGGGAGAACCTTCCAGAAGGACAACCATCTCTGCAGCACTCCACCAATCAGGCCTTTATGGTAGTGGCCAGACGGAAGCCACTCTTCAGTAAAAGACAATGGACAGCCCACCTTGGAGTTTGCCAAAAGGCACCTAAAGACTCTCAGACCATGAGAAACGAGATTCTCTGGTCTGATGAAACCAAGACTGAACTCTTTGGCCTGAATGCTAAGCGTCACATCTGGAGGAAACATGGCACCATCCCTACGGTGAAGCATGGTGGTGGCAGCACCATGATGTGGGGATGTTTTTCAGCAGCAGGGACTGGGAGACTAGTCAGGATCGAGGGAAAGATGAACGGAGCGAAGTACAGAGAGATCCTTGATGAAAACCTGCTCCAGAGTGCTCAGGACCTCAGACTGGGGCGACGGTTCATCTTCCAACAGGACAACGACCCTAAGCACACAGTCAGGACAACGCAGGAGTGGATTCGCGACAAGTCTCTGAATGTCCTTGAGTGGCCCAGCCAGAGCCCGGACTTAAACCCGATTGAACATCTCTGGAGAGACCTGGAAATAGCTGTGTAGCTACGCTCACCATCCAACCTGACAGAGCTTGAGAGGATCTGCAGAGAAGAATGGGAGTAACTCCCCAAATACGGGTGTGCCTAGCTTGTAGCGTCATTCCCAAGAAGACTCGAGGCTGTAATCGGTGCCAAAGGTGCTTCAACAAGGTACTGAGTAAACTTCGCTTTGTCATTATGGGGTATTGTGTGTAGATTGCTGAGGAATTTATTTTATTTAATCCATTTTAGAATAAGGCTGTAACGTAACAAAAATGTGGAAAAAGTCAAGGGGTTTGAGTACTTTCCTAAGGCACTGTGTGTATGTATGTACAGTACCAGTCAAAAGTTTGGACACCTACTCATTCCAGGGTTTTTCTTTATTTTTACTATTTTCTACATTGTAGAATAATAGTGAATACATCAAAATTATGAAATAACACAAATTAAATCATGTAGTAACCAACAAAAGTGTTAAACAAATCAAAATATATATTTTTATTTGAGATTCTTCAAAGTAGCCACCCTTTGCCTTGATGACAGCTTTGCACACTCTTGGCATTCTCTCAACCAGCTTCACTTGAAATGCTTTTCCAACAGTGTTGAAGGAGTTCCCACATATGCTGAGCACTTGTTGGCTGCTTTTCCTTCACTCTGCGGTCCAACTCATCCCAAACCATTTCAATTGGGTTGAGGTTGGGTGATTGTGGAGGCCAGGTCATCTGATGCAGCACTCCTTCACTCTCCTTCTTGGTCAAATAGCCCTTACTCAGCCTGGAGGTGTGTTGGGTCATTGTCCTGTTGAAAAACAAATGATAGTCCCACTAAGCGCAAACCAGATGGGATGGCGTATTGCTGCAGAATGCTGTGGTAGCCATGCTGGTTTAGTGTGCCTTGAATTCTAAATAAATCATAGACAGTGTCACCAGCAAAGCACCATCACACCACCTCCTCCATGGTGGGACCCACACATGCGGAGATTATCCGTTCACCTACTCTGCGTCTCACAAAGACACAGCCTGGGATCGAACCCGGGTCTGTTGTGACGCCTCTAGCTCTGCGATTTTTTTATTATGTTACAGGAGCTGTTCTACAAGTGGTCTGAGGCAGCTGTTAAATAATTAGCGTTTTCAAGTGCAGTTTTAGTAATGATAGATTTGGGAGATTTAACGATGCTCCTACGAAGTTTCTAACGTTTAATTTAGCCTTAAGATGCTTTTGGGAGACCGGGCACAGGTCCATCGCACGACGACTAAAGTGACTGGATTTAAAATACTTTCATAACTCGCCAAAGTAAAGATGTTGCTAGAGTGCTGACAAACTTGTGTCTGTATGCTCAAGCTTCTATTTCTCAAAAATTGATGAAATATTTTTAGCACTTTGTTTAACGCCAAACTAGCTATGGTCCATGCACATGCGTCTGATGCGCATGCCGCTCTTAGTGCACATCCGACGCATGCGCATGGACCAGAGATGGCCAAAACAAATGACCATGTGACCGAATGTTGTGATGACTTCCTATTTACACACTATTTTACTTAGACTAAATAAATGTCCTCTTTCTTTTTCCATAAATGAATTGCCCCTCTAGCAAGAAGAAGCCTAAACGAGATGGCAAGCCTAGACAGGAGGAACATCTTGAGCAGATTCCCTTCCGCCTCCGAGAGATTATGAAAAGCAAGGAGAGGATGAAGATGGGGCCAAGCAAGACCAAGAAGATGAAAAAAGGTCAGTCATCATGCAATTCTAACCTCCAGTTTTTAATATCGTTCTAAATCCTTGATTATGCCTATACATGAATGCCCATGGTATTAGCTGAGGTCTTTGATACTTATAAAAACAGACTTGTCTTTCTTAAAAGTTGAATTGAATTGAAGCTGGTATCCAGTATTCCTCAGTTTCGTTTTCTGTCCTGTTCCTTATATTCTTGATTCTTTACTTGGATCCCATTAGCTGAAGCCATCGCCCTCACTCCCAAACCCAAGCCAGGGGACGCTACACTTGGAGATATCCCTGTTCCACACTTCCGTAGAAAGAAGAAGGAGAGTGAGAAGTCGTACCTGCGGAGGATGGGCAACGAGGCGCAGCACGTCCTCTTCCTCACCAAGAACCAGATAGAGAGACACCCGGAGAGGGAGCTAGAGGAGCAGGAGAAACCTGCTGGCACCGGGAAATGCAAGTCTGACAAGAAGAAAGAGTGAGTGGAGCCAGACAAACATTCTGTTCCTCAATTCCAACCCGACCCCTAGCCCCTCCTCCGTTCGTTTAGGCCTACACTTATGAATTGATTGTTGTTTTTGTTTAAAAACATTTTTACTTTGTTGTTTATTGGTTTAACGCAGCGTTTCCCAAACTAGGTGTCACGACCCCATGTGGGGTTGCCTGATTTTGGAAATGGGGTCACAAGAGAAACACTGAAATAGAAATGGATAAAATGCTCTGGTTGTTGAAATAAACAGCGGTTTCTGTTTTCTTCCTACACATGTGGCTCTATCTATTGAACGGTTTAAGCTACAAAATATTATGACCCCATCACTGAAAGTTAAGACTCTAAGGAACATGTATCTTCTGTTTCCCTCTACCATGCCCACAAGCCGGGCAGAACTCATTAGAACAGAGTAGACAAGACCAGGCACTAAATCAGACTGGAGAAAAAAGAACATCATCAACGATTATGTGCTTTTCCTGGACAGAAGATCATACAAAAGTATTGCCTGGTGATCTTCTGAATTTCCCAATACCTTTCTAATGCATTTGTCACTTCAAACCATACTTCCTTCAGATTGAAATACTGTCAAAAGTACTTTCGGACTGATTTGTAATCGACTGTCATAGCCCCTGGGATCTCCAAAAAATACAAAAAATATAAATGGAAAAGACTAAGTTTAAGGTTGAGTGTGATGTTACCCGCTTTCTACAGCGTGATGACCAAATGAATTTGCCCCGGTGTGATGATAAAGTTAACAAACTAAAAATATCCAACCCCTTCAGATCTACAGTAGTGTCTAGGGAGGAGGGGTTAGGGGTTGATTTGAAATGTAGCCTTTGTATGTAGTCTCAAAGGTAGTGGTCTCAAATTCAACCCTTTATAGTTTGTCCTCTCCTGTATGACCGCAGGTATGATAAAAGCCGGCTGGACAGGCTACATAAGAAGAAACTGGACAGGCGGGAAGAGAAGGCAGAAAACGACATGTTCATAGGTATGTATGGATTTTCAGCAGATTATGCTGTACATCAGGTCATTAGAGATGTATACATGCTGCCATCATCTAATTCCCTATCCCTTAATTTTTAGATGAAGTTGCCTTTGGAGAAGTTGCCATGGCACCACCGACTCTGAGTATCAAGCCCAGGAAGGCACTGATCAAGCCCCAGGTAAGTGTGCGTGTGAGTACGTAAAAAGAGCTATCCTCGTTTGAATCATATCACTCCCCAGAGGGGTATACTACGATGCAAGCTAGATTACTCTGGATTTGCTAAAGCTAGCCTGCTTCGGTTAGCTTCACATTCCAGCTCAGGCTTCATCCATGTTACGATGGTAGATATTGATCGTCCACCTGCCGTCTACTCGAGCCTGCTCAAGCCGAGCTTGTAACTGCGTGCTCATGCCGCACAAGGCTAGTCGATCAAAAGTCATAAAGGTTTACTTTGCTGGAAGTTTCAAGTGCATCCTGTCATTATTAAATGTATAATGTAATACGTATTTTAATATTAGCTTTGTAATTTTTTGTATTAATAAAATATTGAATCAGTCATCTTCCTTAAATGAAGGGGATGATGACTTGCGGCTCAGGCACTTCATTCAGGATAAGTGAAGTTAGCCCTGGATTCGTTGCCTGGTTAAAAGGTGAGCCACTTTAGTGTCACCGGTTATCCCGAGTTGAACTCTGAGTTGACCAAAGTTAGCTCGCTAACTCCTCTAGCTCACGTCATAGTACACCACTCTGGCATCTTAGAGTAGTGCTGATCTAGGATCAGTTTTGCTTTTTAGATCCCAATGAATAAGATGTAAAGAAAAATATATTTAACCATTATTTTGACAGGGAAGTCATACTGAGACTAGGGTCTCTTTTTACAGATGAACCCTGCATAAATACTGTACTTCAAACGCATACAATATACAAAATTACAAAACCTACTAAGAAAAACACACATTTATCAACATTGAGGTCTCCGATCATTACTCAAAACTGTCCAAGGGGGGACCAGAACATCTCATTTCAGTGAGTTCTGTAAGTTGTTCCACATAAAGTATGCAAAAAAACTAAAAGCAGCTCTCTGTGGAGACCGAAGGGGCCAAATCCAGTCTCAGGCTTGGTTTATCTACAAAGCCCTCATGCAGACACTTCCTATGTATCTATCATCATTAATTCAATTTAGACTGACAAATTACCAAACCCAGTCTCAGGCCTGCTCGCTCCTTACATTTTTGATACAAAAGACAATGGTGAGTTCTATAACCATCACCAGTAATAAACCTAAGGGCACAATGAAAAACAACATCTAGTGGTTTAAGTGTAGATGCTGCTGCATGCATGTAGATAATATCCCCATAATCTATAATAGACATAGGTTGCCTGGACAACTTCATTCCTATTAACAAAAGTCAGACATGCTTTGTTTCTGTAAAATAAACCAACCTTGAACTTCAACAACTTAATCAGCTCAGTGACATGTTTTTTAAATGACAGTTTGTCATCAAGCCATATACCAAGATATTTGTCGGAAGGAAAGAACTCAATTTGTGTACCGTTCAAACTGGTCATTTACTAATTTTATTCAAATCTGGGTTATGGGACCTAGAAGAAAGCATGTTTTGTTTGCATTTAGCACTAAGTTTAGATCCAATAGTAACCTCTGCAGTGCTTGAAAATCATACTTCAAATGTGAAAAGGCTTGGCCAACTGATGGAGCAATAGAACACAACACTATTAGCTGCGTATAAATGAATATACAATTTGAGAGAAATTAGCTTTTTGTGTGTATGTAACATCATTTATTTCAGCTCATTAATCATGGGACCATCACTTTACATGTTGCATTTATATTTTTGTTCAGGATAGATTGTAAACAGTAATGGGCCGAGTATCGAAGCTTTGGCCACCCCTTTATGTAACTCGAGGAACTCCGATTTGACCCCATCTACCTTGATGGCCTGAGTTCTGTCATTGAGATAATTATGAAACCATCAGCAAGCCAACCCAACCCTATCGAGGACAGCTTATTCAACGGAATAACATGGTCTACAGTACCAAACGCTTGACAGGTCTACAAACATGGCAGCACAATTCTTTCTATCATCGAAGTCATTTGCAATATCATTTACAACAAGCATGGTAGCCGAAGTGGTGCCATGTTTAGGTCTGAATCCAGATTGATAAACATTAAGAATACCATTTATAGATAGAAAATAACTTCATTGGTTGACCAATAATTTGTAATATTTTCGGAAGACAAGGAAGCCTGGAAATGGGTCGATAATTATCGAGATCACCACTATCCCCGCCCTTATGGAGTGGTAGCACAAAAGCTGCTTTTGACACTTTTTGAATATTTCCTGATAGTAAAAAAAAATTAAATGTGTTACTGTGCCAGCAATGAGGGGCGCTGCATACTTAAGCAAATACGGGTCCAAATTGTCAGCCCCTAATGATTTCTTGGTGTCAATAGCTAATAAGGCAGCAAGAACATGTTTCTGTGATTTGCCAAAATGAAAAACCCTGACTACCATTTCCCAAGTCACGTGAGGTTAACTGACCAATGATTCTAGTATTATCGCAAGACAAGGGAGCCTGGAAATGGGTAGATAATTATCAAGATCACTTCTATCCCCGCTCTTATGGAGTGGTAGCACAAAAGCTGCATTTCACACTTTTGTAATAATTCCATGGATGGGGGGGGACTGATCCTAGATCAGCACTCCTACTCTGAGACTCTTTATGAATACAGGCTCAGATGAATGGCTCTAGACTATTGAATAATGTTAGTCCATCTTCTCTCTCCCCTCCAGGGTGTGTGTAAGGGTCTCCTGCTGAACTCTCTGCTAGGCCAGACCCAGTTCTCCACAGCCAAGCCGTCCATGGCCAGACAGAGGATGATGGAGGAGGAGAGGCAGCGGGTCGTGCAGGCCTACCGCCACCTGAAGAAACAGAAGCAGCATCAGCAGGAGGCCAAGGCAGCTGGGATAGACAAGCTGAAGAACCTCCAGTGAGACTCCAGTCGGACACGGGCTGTGGTCCCATTCTCTGCCTTGCTCCCTCAAGGTGTGCACTTCTTACTTACACTCCCCTTGCATCACTGTATTTGCACAGTGATGCAACTTATGACATCTTCAAATGGGGGACTAGATCTATAAAGTGCTTTCATTTCTAAATGGCCAATCAGATAAGTATGAAAATGCCCTCAAATAAAAGGTGACATTCTGTCCTATCACCTCAAATCCAAAATGCTGGAGAATAGAGCCAAATTAAAAATTGTGTGGACTGGTGTAAGAAATATGGTGGAAAGTCTGGAAACCCCTGTAGAACTATTCTTAAATCAATGCTTTTTAATTAAATGGAGGCGAGGGAGCAAGTGCACATTTCAGGGTGAAGGGTAGGGAATTTGGCTGCATTGAAGATGACGCACCAAATCCAAGTGGAACCAGATGGAGGGGACAAGGGTTAGCTCATCTGATCACCAAGCAGTTCATATTCCTTTCCCAATCTGCAGTGAGTTTTTGTGGACACTGGGATGGTTTCTGGCTATTGTGGAAAGGACCAGACCTCCTCAGCACATATGGACTGATTCACTGTTTCTCCTTGAATAGGTAGCTTTCCTTCCTACCTACCTAGAGGCCTTGCCATTTATGTCAGGTACTTCTGACTGTCAGTTGATACAGAAAACAGTGGCACTATCTTCTCTTGTGGCAATGCATGACTGCTATGACATTGACATGACTCTGACTGTTTGGGGACTTTGAAAACGTCTTATTTTCCCATGCAGTTTGGATGGAATAAACCACATTATTTACGGCCCTGCTTTACCGAGCAAGAAAAGTTGGCACCTGTCATTCCCACTAGGTGGTAGTCAGGATGTCTAACATATAAACATCATCGGTACCTGTTGGGGATTCTTGTAATGTTATTAGTAATAATAATGATAATTTGTGTAGAGAATGTGGTATTGTTTTGAATAAAATGTAACATTGTAACTGCATACGGTTCCCAAATCATTAGGCTATAGCCTGTCACTACTGCAGGTGCTGTTTATGTCATACTTTGTTGCCAGTATGGCAAGTAGTTCAAATAATGTATTTCAATTGCATTTGTCAATATTTGTATAGAGATGGTAGTTTCACGACACTTTAAGAGTGTACTCCTAATCTCAGCTCGTTACCTGTATAAAAGACACCTGGGAGCCAGAAATCTTTCTGATTGAGAGGGGGTCAAATACTTATTTCCCTCATTAAAATGCAAATCAATTTATAACATTTTTTACATGCGTTTTTCTGGATTTTGTTGTTGTTATTCTGTCTCTCACTGTTCAAATAAACCTACCATTAAAATGTATAGACTGATCATGTCTTTGTCAGTGGGCAAACGTACAAAATCAGCAGGGGATCAAATACTTTTTTCCCTCACTGTAGATACTTTTGTACCCGTTTCCTCCAGCATCTTCACAAGGTCCTCTGCTGTTGTTCTGGGATTGATTTTCACTTTTCGAACCAAAGTACGTTCATCTCTAGGAGACAGAACGCGTCTCCTTCCTGAGCGGTATGACGGCTACATAGTCCCATGGTGTTTATACCTGCGTACTATTGTTTGTACAGATGAACGTGGTACCTTCAGGCGTTTGGAAATTGCTCCCAAGGATGAACCAGACTTGTGGAGGTCTACCATTTATTTTCTGAGGTCTTGGCTGATTTCTTTTGATTTTCCCATGATGTCAAGCAAAGAGGCACTGAGTTTGAAGGTAGGCCTTGAAATACATCCAGAGGTACACCTCCAATTGACTCAAATTATGTCAATTAGCCTATCAGAAGCTTCTAAAGCCATGACATCATTTTCTGGAATTTTTCCAAGCTGTTTAAAGGCACAGTAAACTTCTGACCCACTGGAATTGTGATACTGTGAATTAAGTGAAATAATCTGTCTGTAAACAATTGTTGAAAAATTACTTGTCATGCACAAAGTAGATGTCCTAACCGACTTGCCAAAACTATAGTTTGTTAACAAGAAATTTGTGGAGTGGTTGAAAAACAAGTTTTAATGAGTCCAACCTAAGTGTATGTAAACTTCCGACTTCAACTGTATGTGTGTGTGTGTGTGTGTGTGTGTGTGTGTATATACAGTGAGGGAAAAAAGTATTTGATCCCCTGCTGATTTTGTATGTTTGCCCACTGACAAAGACATGATCAGTCTATAATTTTAATGGTAGGTTTATTTGAACAGTGAGAGACAGAATAACAACAAATAAATCAAGAAAAATGCATGTCAAAAATGTTATAAATTAATTTGCATTTTAATGAGGGAAATAAGTATTTGACCCCTCTGCAAAACATGACTTAGTACTTGGTGGCAAAACCCTTGTTGGCAATGGGAGGTCAGACATTTCTTGTAGTTGGCCACCAGGTTTGCACACATCTCAGGAGGGATTTTGTCCCACTCCTCTTTGCAGAGCTTCTCCAAGTCATTAAGGTTTCGAGCCTGACGTTTGGCAACTTGAACCTTCAGCTCCCTCCACAGATTTTCTATGGGATTAAGGTCTGGAGACTGGCTAGGCCACTCCAGGACCTTAATGTGCTTCTTCTTGAGCCACTCCTTTGTTGCTTTGGCCTTGTGTTTAGGGTCATTGTCATGCTGGAATACCCATCCACGACCCATTTTCAATGCCCTGGCTGAGGGAAGGAGGTTCTCACCCAAGATTTGACGGTACATGGCCCCGTCCATCGTCCCTTTGATGCGGTGAAGTTGTCCTGTCCCCTTAGCAGAAAAACACCCTCAAAGCATAATGTTTCCACCTCCATGTTTGATGGTGGGGATGGTGTTCTTGGGGTCATAGGCAGCATTCATCCTCCTCCAAACACGGCGAGTTGAGTTGATGCCAAAGAGCTCGATTTTGGTCTCATCTGACCACAACACTTTCACCCAGTTCTCCTCTGAATCATTCAGATGTTCATTGGCAAACTTCAGACAGCACTGTACATGTGCATTCTTGAGCAGGGGGACCTTGCGGGCGCTGCAGGATTTCAGTCCTTCACGGCGTAGTGTGTTGCCAATTGTTTTCTTGGTGACTATGGTCCCAGCTGCCTTGACATCATTGACAAGATCCTCCCGTGTAGTTCTGGGCTGATTCCTCACTGTTCTCATGATCATTGCAACTCCACGAGGTGAGATCTTGCATGGAGCCCCAGGCCGAGGGAGATTGACAGTACTTTTTTGTTTCTTCCATTTGCGAATAATCGCACCAACTGTTGTCACCTTCTCACCAAGCTGCTTGGCGATGGTCTTGTAGCCCATTCCAGCCTTGTGTAGGTCTACAATCTAGTCCCTGACATCCTTGGAGAGCTCTTTGGTCTTGGCCATGGTGGAGAGTTTGGAATCTGATTGATTGATTGCTTCTGTGGACAGGTGTCTTTTTATACAGGTAACAAACAGATTAGGAGCACTCCCTTTAAGAGTGTGCTCCTAATCTCAGCTCGTTACCTGTATAAAAGACACCTGGGAGCCAGAAATCTCTGATTGAGAGGGGGTCAAATACTTATTTCCCTCATTAAAATGCAAATCAATTTATAACATTTTTGACATGCGTTTTTCTGGATTTTTTTGTTGTTATTCTGTCTCTCACTGTTCAAATAAACCTACCATTAAAATTATAGACTGATCATTTCTTTGTCAGTGGGCAAACATACAAAATCAGCAGGGGATCAAATACTTTTTTCCCTCACTGTATATACAGTGGTGTGAAGAAGTGTTTGCCCCCTTCCTGATTTCTTATTTGTTTGCATGTTTGTCACACTTAAATGTTTCAGATCATCAAACAAATTTAAATATTAGTCAAAGATAACAGAAGTAAACACAATGCAGTTTTGAAATGAAGGTTGTTATGATTAAGGGAAAACAAAATCTAAACCCACATGGCCCTGTGTGAAAAAGTCATTGCTCCCTACAACCTAATAACTGGTTGGGCCACCCTTAGCAGCAACAACTGCAATCAAGCGTTTGCGATAACTTGCAATGAGTATTTTACAGCGCTGTGGAGGAATTTTGGCCCAACCATCTTTGCAGAATTGTTGTAATTCAGCCACATTGGAGGGTTTTCGAGCATGAACTGCCTTTTTAAGGTCATGTCACAGCATCTCAATAGGATTCAGGTCAGGACTTTGACTAGGCCACTCCAAAGTCTTCATTTTGTTTTTCTTCAGCCATTCAGAGGTGGACTTGCTGGTGTGTTTTGGATCATTGTCCTGCTGCAGAACCCAAGTTCGCTTCAGCTTGAGGTCACGAACAGATGGCCGGACATTCTCCTTAAGGATTTTTTGGTAGACAGCAGAATTCATGGTTCCATTTATCACAGCAAGTCTTCCAGGTCCTGAAGCAGCAAAACAGGCCCAGACCATCACACTACCACCACAATGTTTTACTGTTGGTATGATGTTCTTTTTCGGTGTTACTTTTACGCCAGATGTAATGGGACACACACCTTCCAAAAAGTTCAACTTTTGTCTCGTCAGTCCACAGAGTATTTTCCCAAAGGTCTTGGGGATCATCAAGATGTTTTCTGGCAAAAATGAAACAAGCCTTAATGTTCTTTTTGCTCAGCAGTGGTTTTTGTCTTGGAACTCTGCCATGCAGGCCATTTTTGCCCAGTCTCTTTCTTATGGTGGAGTCATGAACACTGACCTTAACTGAGGCAAGTGAGGCCAGCAGCTCTTTGGATGTTGTTGTGGGGTCTTTTGTGACCTCTTGGATGAGTCTTCGCTGCGCTCTTGGGGTAATTTTAGTCGGCCGGCCACTCCTGGGAAGGTTCACCACTGTTCCATGTTTTCGCCATTTGTGGATAATTGCTCTCACTGTGGTTCGCTGGAGTCCCAAAGCTTTAGAAATGGCTTTATAACCTTTTCCAGACTGATGGATCTCAATTACTTTCTTTCTCATTTGTTCCTGAATTTCTTTGGATCTCGGCATGATGTCTAGCTTTTGAGGATCTTTTGGTCTACTTCACTTTGTCAGGCAGGTCCTATTTAAGTGATTCCTTGATTGAGAACAGATGTGGCAGTAATCAGGCCTGGGTGTGGCTAGAGGAATTGAACTCAGGTGTGATAAACCACAGTTGAGTTGTGTTATAACACGGGGGCAAACACTTTTTCACACAGGGCCATTAGGTTTGGATTTTGTTTTCCCTTAAGTTAATAATAAC